CCCTCCCCCCCCCCCCAGCCAAATCTATTTTCTTCACATTTTTAACTCTTTATTATCAGTTTAAAAAAGATGCATAGTAAGTTGGGAAAGACTATGAATGTGACATTTTAATAGGTACAATTACACCACTGTAGTAAAGAGAGCGAGAGAGCGAGCGAGCGAAAATATATATGAGATAGACTCATTACATGCAAAGCAAGATATGAAGTTCAAGCCGTGATTTGTCATAATTGTGACGATTATGGCTTACAGCTCATGAAAACCCCAAGAACACCAAATCCACAACCTCAGAAAATTAGAATATTACATGCAATCAATAAAACAAGGATTGTACATAGAACAATATCGGACCTCTGAATAGTATAAGCATGCATATGTACTCAGTACTTGGTTTAGGCCCCTTTTGCAGCAATTACTGCCTCAATGTGGCGAGGCATGGAAGCTATCAGCCTGTGGCACTGCTGAGGTGTCATGGAAGACCAGGATGCTTCAATAGCGGTCTTCAGCTCTTCTGCATTGTCCGGTCTCATGTCTCATCTTTCTCTTGGCAATGCTCATAGATTCTCTATGGAGTTCAGATCAGGCGAGTTTGCGGGCCAATCAAGCACAGTAATCCCACGGTCATTGAACCAGGTTTTGGTGCTTTTGGCAGTGTGGGCAGGTGCCACGTACTGCTGGAAAATGAAGTCAGCATCCCCATAGAGCTCGTCTGCGGAAGGAAGCATGAAGTGCTCCAAAATCTCCTGGTAGACGGCTGCGTTGACCCTGGACTTAATGAAGCACAGTGGACCAACGCCAGCAGATGACATGGCTCCCCAAATCAACACAGACTGTGGAAACTTCACACTGGACAAGCATCTTGCAGTGTGTGCCTCTCCATTCTTCCTCTATACTCTGGGTCCTTGGTTTCCAAATGAGATGCAAAATTTGCTCTCATCAGAAAAGAGGACTTTGGACCACTGAGCGACAGACCAGGTCTGTTTTTCTTTAGCCCAGGTAAGACGCTTCTGACGCTGTTTGTTGTTCAGGAGTGGCTTGACAAGAGGAATACGACATTTGAAGCCCATGTCCAGGATCCGTCTGTGTGTGGTGGCTCTTGATGCACTGACTCCAGCCTCAGTCCACTCCTTGTGAAAGTCCCCAACACTTTTGAATGGCCTTTTCCTGACAATCCTCTCCAGGCTGCGGTCATCCCTGCTGCTTGTGCACCTTTTTCTTCCACACTTTTCCCTTCCACATAACTTTCTATTAATGTGCTTTGATACAGCACTTTGGGAACATCCAACTTCTTTTGCAATTACCTTTTGAGGCTTTCCCTCCTTATGGACGGTGTCAATGATGGTTTTCTGCACAACGGTCAGCAGTCTTTCCTATGATTGCGATTCCTACTGAACCAGACTGAGAGACCATTTAAAGGCTCAGGAACCCTTTGCAGGTGTTATGGCTTAATTAGCGGATTAGAGTGGGACACTTTAAACCTAGAATATTGCACCTTTTCACAATATTCTCATTTTCTGAGATTGTGGATTTGGGGTTTTCATGAGCTGTAAGCCATAATCATCACAATTATGACAAATCACGTCTTGAACTATCTTGCTTTGCATGTAATGTGTCTATCTCATATATTAGGTTCACCTTTTAAGTTGCATTAGTGAAAGAAATGAACTTTTGCACGATATTCTAATTATTCGAGTTACACCTGTACCTGTATGTGGATAGATAGATTTTTTTAAATTAATAATATCAGCGAGAATAGGACGGTGGCAGAGAAGATCAAAGCTGAGAGGGAGATGAAGAAGGAAAAGGAGAGATAAGAGCAGAGGAAAAGAAGAGAGAGGGCAGTCTGAACAGAGAGGAAATAAGACAGAGATGGGAAGACAAGAGGAGGTAGGCTGAGCTCATACATAGGGAGAAAGTAGAGATTGTGCAGGCAGCAAGGCTGAAGAACAAACATTGCTTTGAGCAAAACATAACAAATATAACTCAGAATGTGTACCCATTATCTGATAAAAAATAACAAAAAAGTAAAACACCTCTTGTGTTTGGCCCCATTCACACCAGGATGGCAGCGTTTCAGCGCATTTTTGAAAGCACTGAAACGCAATTAAAAACGCCCAAAAACGCACTATTCAGCACGTTACCATTGAAATCTTTATAATAAGCGCAATGATCAGCACGAGAAAAGTAGCTCAGGGATCATTTTGGGGCGACAGGCGTTTCGGATCACGTGGATTTGCGCGCTTGCATGAACAGTCCGCATAGGAATGTATGGGATTGTTCATGTAGGTGTTTCAGCGAGGAAAATTCTGCGCGACCCAAACGCCCTGGTATGACGGGGTCTTAGAAATGTAAAGGGTTTCCATCATTCAGGTTGATGCCGGCTGGGAGCTGGGCCCAAGAATACCCTTCAATCTCACTCTACAACCTTCACATGATGCAATGTTTTGCAATGCTTTATTACAGTCAGAGTGCAACGCATGAACCATATGATCTCCTTGTAGATTTTCTGGATGAATGTAATAAGCTTTCTGGCAATAAATGTCGCTTTTGGTGTGTTTTTTTAACTTAATGAACAACTCCGACCTGTAGAAATCTTAACCCTTGCAGTAGGACTACCCCTTGCACTGCAAGAGTTAAAAGGAGAACTATGACATGAGTGCTTTTCACTCACCTCATAGTTCTAGCCGACCTGTGACAATGAGACTGTCACAGGTCGGCTCAGTAGATCGGGAGGTGAGCGAACATATAGCGGCATTCGCTCACCTCTCGATCCTGTCACGGCTCTCTGCCGTGACAGGGGAGGGGCTGGATTCTCCCCTCCCCGATAGCGCTGACTGGTGGAACAGACGGGGGAGGGGGCGAGTACAGCTGGCTCTGCCTCTAGATAGACAGAGCCAGCTGTCACTCACGCAGCTGGGCGGATCTCAACATCGATGTCGGGATTCGCTCCGGCGTCTCAGTATAGCGCGAGCTGTGGCTCGCGGTATACTGAGCTTAGGGTAACGGGGGGACGCTAGTTTGTGTCCTCCCGTTACCTTGAGGAGAACTATGGGGAAAAGCCCTGACCCCATAGTTCTCCTTTAAGTGCTCTTTTTCATCTAGGGTCTAAAATAACAAAGATATACTCACCCGTACCTTGGTCCTGTCCCTGCAGCCTCTCTTCCCCTCCACTCCAGTGATGGAATGACCCTCAGCATCCTCACGTCTAATACACTGTATTGGACGCGATGACTCACAGGTCCTTAGACCACCAGAGCGGAGGTGGAGAGAAGCTGCAGGGACAGGACCAAGGTACGGGTGAGTACATCTTTGTTATTTTAGACCCTAAATGAAAAATGATCACTTAACCCTTGCAGTGCAGGGAAGGTGGTGGCACCACTGCAAGGGTTACGTTTTCTTCTGCCCAGAGTTCTTCTTTAAGGTAAGATACGAGTTTACCGTCACAGGGTTTTCCTTATAATTAGCCCATTAGGGAGTAACCATCAAGCTACACCACATAGATAGTGGTTATCTGCACCCTGCATGTCATGTCAGAGGAGGAGAGCTTAGCAGAGTTTTATATTCTATATGTTATCAAGCCCAATGTCACATCCATCTATAGCAAAAACAAACAACATGCCATGCTTTTGCTACGGTGTTTTATACCTTCCGAGGAAAATTAGATCTCCGATGCATTTGATTTAATCACCTCAGTACCAGAGAAAGTTTGTCATGTTGGCGCACACATGGTAAAATCGGAATTTTGGGATAGAAAATGACTTTAAAATCGCTCAAACAATTAAATATTTTCTGAAAGCCGAGGCCCTGTAGAATAAAATATAATACACATTTTTTTTGTAAAATATAAAAGACAGGGTCACGTTGAGCAAATAGATACCAAACATGTCAAGTGTGAAAATTGCGTGTGCCTGTGCAATAGTGGAAAATATGCTACTCAAAATTGTCCATAGGGGACACTTAAAGAGCCTTTATTGTTGTTATTTTTTTTTATATTATTGTTCATCAGTTTAGAGTTAACCGTGAATTACGGCGGCAGAATTATTGCTCTCACTCTGATGTTCGCGATGATGCCGAACATGTGTGGCAAAATCGTTGTTTATGTACGCATGCATACACACGTGTTTATTCACATGCAGATGGCAGGGTTAGTTTTAATATTTTCTTTTTTTAAAGTTTTTATTACATTTTTATCACTTTTTTTTCACATAACGTTAAAAAGCTACTATATGATAGCATTTGGGTGTGACAAGTTCTCTTTATGGAGACATCAGGGGTCTATTAGACCTCTGACGTCTCTCCTGTCCTCCAATACAGACACATAAGGGGCTAATAAACCAATGTGATTGCCATAAAAGGTAAGAGTAAAAAAAATTAAAATTAAAAGTCACACATAAAAATACATACCATTCCAGTGCGTTCTGCAAAAATACTGCAAGCACTATTTCTGCAGATCGCACTGGACCGGAACGCACACACTAATGTTCCTGCTTTCCGGGTTGTGGGCGATCGCACTGCGGACGGGAGGGCGTGGCTGTGGCGCCATTGACTTCAATGCACCACCACGACCCCACCCCCCCTGAACGCAGGGAGACGGCCGGCTTGCGTTCCAGAGGCGGAACGCACTGGAATGCGGAGTTTGCGGTGTGAACTGGCCCTTAAAGCGCACGCCTATGGACAATTGTGGGTAGTTTCCTGCAATTTTGTGGGCGCGCGCAATTTTAAAAGGAGAACTATGGGGTTAGGGCTTTTCCCAAAGGGTAACGGGAGGACACAAACTAGCGTCTTCCCTCAGTATAATACTGAGATGCCGCAGCCGGAACGGATCCCGACAATGCTGTCTGGATCCACCCAGCTGCGTGAGTGACAGCTGGCTCTGCCTATCCAGAGGCAGAGCCAGCTGTACCCGACCCCTCCTCCGTCCGTTCCGACAGTCAGCACTGGAGGATCGGACAGGGGAGGAGGGAAATCCCTGCAGGGAGCCGTGAGTGAGAGTCACGGCTCTCTGCAGGGATAGATCAAGAAGTGAGCGAGCAACGGTATGTGTTCAGCAAATATGTTGCGCTCGGTCTATTGGAGGGCCACCACAGAGCCCCTCCTTCCTTTTCAAAGTTTGTTCACAGCTTGAATTAATATCACGATTTAAATTTTAGTTTTCTGTGTTGTTTTACTACACCGCTGGCCAGAGGTTCACGTGTTTAAAATATACATGCCGAACCAATGAGGTTGATCACTGGCACTAATTCTGAAGGTTCCAGTGTTGATTTTTATTATTCTTATTATGTTTGTGTGTTGAACCTTCTAGTCATATGTAAATAATCCACTTGAATCAATTTTTTCACACGGATTGTTGTAATTTTTACACAGATTTGTTTATTAACACTTTAGTGTGCAGTTGGTTCACATAGACCGAGCGCAACATATTTGCTTTACATTTGTTCACCTATACACATTGTTGCGGCTGGTCCAATCAGGTAGTTAGGCACGCATTCCCAGCGCAGTGATTTCTGTGATAAACGGTATGTGTTCGCTCACTTCCCGATCTACTGATAGTTTCCTTATCACAGGTTCGGCTCCGACTGCCGTTCCCGGGCCCGTAGGAGGGGCAACGGACGCAGAAGCGATCTGGCGACAGGTAAGTCGCCAGGATCGCTTCTGTTGTAAAGCCGACAGTCGGCTCTACAAGTTTAAACAGACTCCCAGCGGCAAAAGTCACCGGGAGTCTGTTTAAACAGCCCCGATGCTGGCGACGTCAGTCACGGAGGGGTTAAGGTATCCGTTTACCCAATGTGACCCCATCTTTTATATTTTACCAAAAACATAAGTGAACAGGGTTTTTTTTTCTCTCAAAATTGTTGGTATTTTATATAAAGTTTTTGTTTTGTTATATAGTAAAAAATAAAAAAACCCAGTGGTGATTAAATACCACTGGGGGGTTTTTCTGTCCCCAAAAAATGATATAAAACTAATTTTAGTAAATCGTTGCATGACGGAATAAATGTCAAAAGTACCGCAGCGCTGAATACTGAAATATTACCTGGACAGGAAAGGGGTGTAAACACCGCAGTCATCAAGCGGTTAAAGTGAATCAAAATTAAAAAAACTTTTGTTTTGTATAGAGCAGGAGGTGAGAGGAAATGCATAGATGGTTGTCACCAGAAAAGGTGTCCCCATTGGAATGTTTCACCTCTATTCCTGTTCTGGACACAGTTGTAAGAAGAAGGTAGTTTTTTTTAGATGAGATTGAACCATAAAACCCATGGACACACATTCTCCTCCTGAATTACTTTTTATTTTTTTGCAGCAAAAAATATATATTTTTTTAAATTGGATATTTGCTGTCAATAAACTTGATTTTTTTCTCCCTCATTGTCATTAACAAATCTGAAGAGGAAAACAAACAATCTGTTATTGCCATGATAAGTGACTACAACAAGGGTGACACCAGTAAGGAGAAGCCCAATGTCATCTCTCTCCGTGTCATAGTCGGGTGTCCAGGTGACGGCGGAGATCACAGCTGGTACACAGATCTCAGCACACATGGCCGTGCAATCATTACATCAGCCCAGCACTCACCATCCAGCTCTATGTCCGGCTCCTCCGGGTACTGGAACACCGGGTTACCGTCCCTCTTCTTCATAATCACCTGGCCAGAGGTGTGGGGTACCGGGCGCTCCCCCATAGACACTGGCTGTAATGCCCTACCCCCACTACACACTGTACATGGTCAGAACACACACTCCACTAATAGAGCCCAGCAACTTACACACTGCACCATAGACAGCACAAGGAGCTGGATAGAGCGGCCAAGACTTCCGCCACTGGATGGCAATCCGATCGGAAGTCGAAGGGCACAGGTACGTGAGGTGGTTCTAACTTGTTTATCGTTTATAGTCCTCTCAGATCTTCATTAGCAACTGAGCTCAAAACACAAATATGTATGTGCACGCGAATATTGGAAGCGCCAAGACGGATTGACTGGAAGTGCTTTAAGATTTGCCAACTACAACATGGCGATGGAAGGTTCCCATTGGCTGAAAGGAATCAGATGGGTTAAGGTTTCCATAGAGATAGAGATACTTCCTTGACGCTCAAGTAAGAGTTCTTATCCGTTCATGTTTTGGTAAACCTATGTACTTGTTATTCCAGCAACGTATTATTATTATTCTTTTTAGGAGTAGCAGTTGTATTAGTATTATTAGTAGTAGTAGATATGCTACTACTACTATCTATTGAGTATTACTTATTAAGCATTATTATTAGTAGTAGTAATTTTAGGAGTAGTAGTACTGCTATTATTATTATTATTATTATTAGTAGTAGCAGTAGTAGTTTTATTACTATTATTATTAGTAGTAGTGGTAGCATTCACGTTGGCCCTATTAGTGCTACTGTTAGTAACAGTTGTTGTAGTAGTATTACTATCATTTTTGATAGTAGTATTTTAATGTTTAGTAGTAGTGAGTGGCAGCATTAATTTTAGCAGTATTAGTACTACTATTAGTAATAGTAGTGGTTGTTGTAGTAGTATTACTATCATTATTGTGAGTAATATTTTAATGTTTATTATTATTAGTAGTAGTAGTAGCATTAATTTTAGCAGTATTTGTGTTACTATTAGTAGTAGCAGTAGTCGTAGTAGTGCTATCATTATTGTTTTAGTATTTTAATTTTTATTATTAGTAGTAGTACTATTATTATTATTATTATTATTGTTGTTGTTATACATTATTATAAAGCAGTGATGCATGCTTTATACTATATAAAGTTTATAGCTATCCTTGTGTTTCCTTGCTTTGGAACTTTGAAGCCTGAGTATCTCCATCAATTCTAATAAATGTGAGAAAAAACAAGTGTGCCGGAGAAGGAAGGACTCGGCACCTAACCTGTTTGAGGTCATGTGACAGAGCTCTCCTCCTTTCGGCGAGTGTTCTCTGAAGCGTTATGTACAGAACACACAGCAGAACATCAAAGGCTCCACATTTCATACATTTTGTATGTTATAAGTTTAAACAGTTTGTTAAGTGAACATTTTCTACTCTTTTAGTGACTCCAGCACAATAACCTTAAAGTGACATTAAACCCTCAGATTTTTTAACATAAACCAATACTGTAATGTGTGCCTTACTGTAATCCATGGTTGTTTCCCTTCTCTTTGCTGCTCTTCCTTTTAAATCTGCTCTCATGCTAGGCAGAACTTCTGTTTTGCAGCAGACTGCCTTGTCTCGGGAATGGATACATGGTGTCTGTGTGTAGGGACAGGGCAGAAACTATTCTATTCTAAATACAAAATTGTGATCTTAAAACATTTGTATGTGATTTTTGTGATTGGTGGTGATTAGGAGTTCAGAATATGGGGAAAACTAAGAAAAAAAATGAGAAGAAGGCGGACAAGTTGACAGTTGATACCCCTGAGGATTCCAGCTCGAAGATCTCATCTGTATCTGTTACCCCAACTGAAGAACTTCCTACATTCCTTGAACTTGTTTCTGAAGACATAACTGCAAAGACAGAGGAGTCTCCAACCAATGTTCCTACCATTGTCCCTTCTCCAGAGCTGTATGAGAAACCTGCTCTAACTCAGATTATCATAGAAAAGTAAGTACATCCTTAATGCTGAAGGTCATTGTAAAGGGAAACTGTTTAAAGGAGAACTATGAGGTGAGCGATTTTCACTCACCTCATAGTTCTAGCCGACCTGTGACAATGAGACTGTCACAGGTCGGCTCAGTAGATCGGGAAGTGAGCTAACACATACCGGCGTTTGCTCACTTCTCGATCCTGTCACGGCAGAGAGCCGTGACAGGGGAGGGGCTGGATTCCCCCCTCCCCGCTCCGATCCTCCAGCGCTGACTGGCGGAACGGACGGGGGAGGGGGCGGGTACAGCTGGCTCTGCCTCTAGATAGGCAGAGCCAGCTGTCACTCACGCAGCTGGACAGATCCAGACATAATTGTCGGGATCCGTTTCAGCTGCGGCGTCGCAGTATCCTGCGAGCTGTGGCTCGCGGTATACTGAGCTTAGGGTGACGGGAGGACACAAACTAGCTTCCTCCCGTTACCCTTAGGAGAACTATGGGGAAAAGCCCTAACCCCATAGTTCTCCTTTAATTCTTTCACAATAGTTGTATTTTTTAAAGATGATTTTTATTGAGTTTGCATGAGTAACAATACAAGAAAACAACACAAAAAGAAAAAACAATCCCCTACCCCATCAACAGGGGCCAAGGGGTACAGTAACAGTTATGTAGGCATATCTGTGGTATGACAGTACACATGATTCATAGCAACATCATGTAACCGTACACAGATGTCGTGGGACACGTAAGAATTGAGCAATACACAAATGTACACAGCAGTAGTTGTACAATAATATAAATCAAATAGTGGAGGAGAGTTTGCTATGGTGCAAGGAGAGGAGAAATGCGGTTGCTTTATCACTCTGCAAAAGTACTTACATTCTTCCTATCTATTTTTTGTTGTTCATGTACTGTATGTAGATTTTTATACACAGTTCTCACAACTGCTATCTAGGGATTTCTGGAGAGCTGTGACAGGAGAGTGGGAGCAATACAGAGTTCACCATAGCCTCTATGCAGATGTATTGTTAGGTGGGATAGTAATAGGAATGTCATTTCAAATATTCCTGCAGTTTGGCTACTCTAATGTATCTATATTTATGGACAACTGAACTAAGCTAAGCACATAACAAATACCAAATATGTCTGTTTCTTAGTTGTTGATGGAACAGTAAAGCCTCCTTAAAAGAGAAGGTATTCACACGACTCATTTCATCACATATCCCAAAAACAAGCTTATTTCTCATTTTAGGGCAGTGGGTGGAGTCATGCAAATCATTGCTTTATGCCTCTTTGGCCAGATACACATCCAGAACCTCTGATGTATAGTGCAAATATAACCTCATCTTATAAAGCCATTTATTTCAAACTGTACAGAACTGTTTCAGGCTATTTGGCCATCATCAATGTAGTGCATGGAAACCATAGCTTTTATGGAGTACGGCTTGGGGTTCAACAGGACAGTATAAACATACAAGTTATGGTGAGAGGGTTTTGGATAGAATAGATAAGAGTTTAAATTGTTTGTCAGGTTTTTATATTTGTCTGTGACCTTTACATCCTGGTCCTGTGAGGCCAATACAACATATGGGTAGGATGGTTTTCACTGGACCAGGGAGACATGGACAGCAATGGAAACATTTTCAGAAGTTTTAAACCAAACCGCACTATGCATAACAATGTGGTTTTGATTTTGTATGCATCCCTTTTGGAGATATTTCCCATTGCTTCCTGTCTTGACAGGGAGTGAGGGGGAACTTTCCCAACAGGGACACAAATGGCAATACAAACAAAACAGAGGTGCTAACCCTTTTCCCCCTTTAAGCAAAACAAAATGAAATATTCTGGCTGTAGTTGAGCTTTAAGTCTTGGGTGGATTAAGGTAGCCAAAAATTATCCAGATTTTCGATCTCAAGGTATGTATAATTCTGTTGAATGCTCATTATTATATAAAGTAAACAACATTTGTTTTGTCTTATTTTAAAGATATGAAGGAGAGTTGGTGCATGGGCTGTATGAAGGAGAAGGAGTTGCTTATTACAAAGATGGAAATGTTTACAGAGTGAGTTCTTGATGTATTTTTTATCCAGTGTATTTGTTTAAAAGGTTTGTAAACTAAATGTCTCCATTTTCAGGGCACATTTTCTGAGGGGCTCATGCACGGCAAAGGAACATATACATGGGCAGACGGAGTAACATATGAGGTAACAGAATCCTATACATTTCATATTTTCCTTGTGGCTATACATCCTACATGGATCCTGTCTTTCTGCCCTTTAAATCAGGACATGATATTGGATTTTGTAAGTAATAACCTCCTTTTAAAAATCCTTGTTTCTTGGCTGGTATCCTGACTCACCCACTGAGTCACCCACCTGTAACTGAGTCACGCACCTGTAAGATCAGGAAAGTCAGAAGTACTTAGCTACACACAAGTTCTGAGGCAGTTAATATCCAAGTCCCATCGCACTCCTGACCAGTAATTCACTTCTGGAAAAGGGGTGTGCTGCAGTGACAAACATATGGTGCCTCTCAATATCAGAGAAGAAGGGGTCAATGGCACTCCAGAATGCTTATCAATACATCTTTATTGACACATGCTCAGTATCACCTAAGACAATGTTTTGGGGCCACACAGGGTGATGTTTTGGCTGATGAAGGGGACTCTGCGTGGCCCCAAAACGTTCCGTTATGTGATACTGGGCATGCATCAATAAAGGTGTATTGTTCAGCATTCTGGAGTGCCAGTGACCCCTTCTTTTCAGTTCTGAGTTAGTGACTCAAAATGTTAAAGAAAGGGGGTGAGCTTGTAAGTCAGGTCACTGGCAGTTTCAGTTGGAGTTTAAAAATGGAAGCCTTCTTATTTCTCCCATGATAGGTTATCTTTAGTTAAAAACAGAATTCAAACAGTAAAATACACATTTAAAATACGTATATCTTAGCTATGTTACCTCCCAAAATATGTGTACCTCTGGGCAACCACTTTTTTGCTTCACATACCTATGTCATCCATGTCACACTATGTAACCAAAGCTTTTTTTTTTTGCCCCAGGGTCAGTTTTCTATGAACTTCCTAATAGGACATGGCATATACAAGTGGCCTAATGGCAGCCATTATGAAGGACAGGTGTACAACGGCATCAGACATGGGGTCGGGATTTACATATCTAGTCACCAGGAGATTTCATATGTGGGTGAATGGTACGAGGGCAAACGCCACGGCAAGGTAAGCAGTACATATCAATAAATACAGTGGGCCTCATGCATAGAAGTGTCCGACTGAAAAGCAGCTCTTGTTGTGCAGAGCTAATTAGGTTCTTATTTTCATGTTTCCAGTACAGCATAGTAGGATAATAAGGAGAATCTGATTTGTTGCTATGGCAACAATGACTGTTTGTCTTTCTGACACCTTAGGGCTCATGTTGACGGACATTGTTTTCCTGAATCTGAAAAACATTTGGACCTTGTGTCAAATGCAGGTCAGCAAAATCCCATTGACTTTAACTGAGAAGTACACATGGCAGTTCAGAGCTCTCCTGACCTGCTTTGCGTTGTTTTTCTTTGGTTGCAGCATTTGAATACAAGGCTCGTCAACATGAACCCTTATGCACAAATGACAGTGTTTTTAGACAGCTTTATGTTATCAATTTTAAATAGAATGGCAGCCAACATGGATTCTTAATGATCATATGCCTTTTATTGCAGGGTTTGATGTATTATGATTCAGAGGAAACATCATGGTATGAAGGGGAATGGATTCACAATGACAAGGAGGGCTGGGGAGTACAGCAGTACGTATGATAATCCATTGGTTTATATATGAAAAATGAGCAAGTATGATGATATCGCTCTTGTTCTTCTATATTAATATCAGTTCTTATGTAATAGTAATAAGCAAAAACACAAACTGAGGGATACAGTAGAGCTTGTTTGCTTGGATTTCCTAGGAGTAATATGATGGGTGGTACAGCAACATTTTGTGGTAGAGCTACTGCTCCTTCAAGAGGTAGCTGCTGCTCCTTCAAGAAGTGTCTGTTGGGATGGCTTGGGTATCTTATATGGATACCCTCTGGGAAGTCACCAGGAAGATGTAACAGGTACATTCAAGGGGTACAGGCTAGGAACCTTCTGGAAAGATTATATCTTCCTGGCAAATGTCTTAGGGTAGCCATGTGCCGCTATATGACTGATAACCACAGTTAGTTAGCCATCTGCTCATCCTTGAACTATTACTATTGAGCTGCAACATTTTTTTTGTTGGGTATAACTAGTCTTATATTTCCAAAGAAGAGCAAAATTATTTGCTTTGGGATGTCCTACTTGCTCTGCAAAATCTGCAGGATTAAGGGAAATCTTAGAAATGTTATTATTATTATTATGTCTTTGAATGGTTTTAGTGTTTTTTTTGGTTTGTTGCTTTTATGTTTTATTCCATCTGTAAACCAGCTAACAGATGTTAAAAAGAAGTAGAACATTAGCAAGTGATCTGGTTCCCAAGAGACCTTTTTCTCAGCTAAATTAACATTAACATACTTATACATAAGGTATCACAACATACCTTGTCAACCAAGATTTCTAAGTTGACCTATTCATTTTATCACCAACAAAGTGAAGGTGGTTATTCTGGCCTGTGATGCCCAAAAGCCTGATTGTGTCCCAGTCCTATTGGAATTACAGTTGGTACGCATACGCATTAGATGATCATTGCATACATAGGCAAAATTTGACCAGACCAGATTTGACCTAACCATACTATTATGTCGATAGTTACCAGCCCCCAAAAAAAATCACTGATGGGGGAACAGTTGTCCCACATTGTTGGAATTTCTTTTTAGCCAACACCTTTTGGCCTTTCCTTGCCAAAAGGCCATCACCTGCATATTATTTCCCAAGGAATAAATGTGATGCTTTTGCACTATGCAACAATCATTTGTAAAAGATGTAAGCTGATATCTATGTATAGCCTGTTATGCAATGGTGTACTTAAATACTGTTTATCTGTTATCTTAAAAATTGGTATCAGTACCCTGTAAAATTGTGATCACATTTAACAGTTTTAAGTCAGGAAATATCTATGAAGGCCAGTGGAAGAATAACAAGTTTCATGGACTGGGGAAGATGAGTTGGATAAACTCCAATGAAGAATACATGGGCCAGTGGGAGAATGGCATACAGGTACTGACACATTCATAGCTGCAAAATATTCACTATTCCATCCCTCCAATCAGTAATTATAGGGAAAATCAGGGTACCTGAAAGACACACCATTACTACCGGCCACAGCCACATTGACCAGTATGATGAAAATTGTTTTCAAACTATGAAACAGTTTCAAAACCAGCATTTTGCAAACATGTTATGTAGATACAACTATAATAACATAGCAGAACTCATTAAATAATGTTTTGTGTAACAATGGAACCAGCACTCTTAGTTCTAAATTGTTCTTCCACATTTACTCTCTTAATCTGTTGCCATGAAGTGTCCTAGGTTACACAACATGTAATTTAGTTTTTAAAGGAACAAGGGCTGTAATCATGATCCTAGCTTCACTGCCTGGTGAGTCACTGACCTGGGACAAGCATGTAGCCAATGGTGTCAAAAAGTATGAATGTTCATTTTGTATTCTTTTTATAGGTCAGCGACTTACCAAATAGTGAAGCCAGATTTTGTATATAAGCAGTGACATCTTCCTGATCCTTTATCCTGTCCCATATATGGGTAATGTGCCCATACACGGGCCCTATATTTGGTACATTTAGGCACATTTGGGTGGTGGTCTTTTTGAACATAAAATAAAATGTAATATGGATATAACATTACTGCTATTCTCAAGTTTTAACCCTTTATACAGAATGGTCATGGGACCCACACTTGGTTCTTAAAGAGAGTGCCTGGGTCACAGTACTCCTTGAGAAATGAATATGCCGGGAGTTTTGTCAATGGGCAGCGTCATGGACCTGGCCAGTATCTGTATGCCAATGGCGCACTGTATAATGGGGAATGGAAACACAACAAAAAGCATGGAATGGTAAGTGTAAAATGCCCAAACAATAAAGCACAAGCGTAAAAGTGTCTGGACAGTACATCACCTATCAGATTATCTATTTTGTTATTCAACTGCATTCTGAGAGAATGAAAATGAGAATGTACTTACCGTGGGCAGTAAGATGTGTCTTTCCTTCAGGCACATTAATGCATGTAATTCCAATTATTTGTTTAGAAATTCAAAATTTTAGAGTTTTAGAGCTAATAAAATACATATGACCGGGAATGGGAGAAACAGGAATTGCCAACCCAGAAGATGGGGGTATTAAAGCAACAGTAAGGGCCCCATGATATAAACTATAACAATTAGCCCTTTTTAAGTGGGCTTGGTCATAGTCAAATCTACTTTTTGTTTTTAATAATTTCCATGAAGCTGGCATGACAATCTTCCATTGTCCTCACTGCAGCCATGACAGGCTGCTGTCAGCTTCCTGCTGTATGCCTCACAAGCAAAAAACAGGCAACATTAAATGTATCATCACGCATAACTCTTTCATTACTCTGGAATAGGGGTTATTAATGAAGTATCCATACCTTTAGGCGTAATGGAGACAAATTATTGAATCCTCACCATCAGTGATGCGACTGGATTTATTAAGGCAAGATTCTCTACATGACTTTTTCGTTTTGGATAGAGACGAGGAGGGTTAAAATCACTGTCAGTGGGTAATTCCTGGTGCTGGCATTTATTAAAACTGAAAAGTAGGTAGTTGTATTGTAGTCTACAACAGCGGTTGCCAACCTTTCGGACCTCATGGACCACTTAATTCATCATTTTAAATCCCGCGGACCGCTAATATGATTTAAAAAAAAAAAATATATATATATATTTATATATATATATATATATATATATATATATATATATATATATATATATATATATATATGTATATATATATATATATATATTCTCATATGTGTGTGTATGTATATCTATATCTACAGATATCTATAGATATCTATAGATATAGATATATATACACACACGCACACATATGAGAATATATATATGAGGAAACAAAAAATATGAGAATATATCTATATATAAATACAGTATATATACACATACATACATAGGTGCGGGTGTGCCTGCAAGAGTGGCAGTGCTGGTGGAGGGAGGGAGCGGTGCCGCCCACCCCGGCCCAGTAATAATATTTATTGTTTCCCCCCTATCGAATCTGCCACTGGCCCTGCTGGCGGCGCCCGGGGCACATGTCCCTCCTAGCTTCAGCACTGCCCCCAACCACGCCCGTGCCTCCCCTTCCCCCACACTGGGCCACTATTACTTGGCTTCTCCCCACTTTTTCTATGTTCCACAGCCTGCTCAGTCCGGGTACTGATGAGATGCCCCGCCTCCTGCAGAGCCTGCACCGTACTGAGAGCCGTGCATTCCTTGTGACAGCCGCTGCTTGAGAGGCAGCCCCGGAGCCTCCGTGCCGCTTCAATGACGGCCCAGCCTGCACAGTATCAGAGGGGCCCGGGGACCACCAAATTTTCTCACAGACCACCGGTTAGCGACCGCTGGTCTACAACACCTTCAAGCTTGTCCACACAAAAAAAAAATCCTAAAATCCAAAATGTTCATAAATCATAAGATTTAGTTTCCATATGATATTGTGAAATATGTTTAAATGTATAATTTTGTACTTTGCTTCTTTGAAAAGTTGTTCTCTGCTTACTGAAAGAGAATCTCTTTCTATGCATGTCACTTGTACATTTTTGCTCTGTGTGTTTGTTCTCAACAGACGCTGATTTGTAACAGATCATCATTTTTAATGCTGTCTTTTGCTTTTTAGGGCAAGTTTGTTTTTAAGAATGGGAGGATCTATGTTGGTGATTTTACAAATGATCAAATATCCGAATATCCAAATTTCAAGTATGATAGAGTGAACACCCCTGATCTAAGTGGAATTCGTACCCAGAGTCCAGGAGGAGCAGGTAGGCAATAGTAGAACAAGTCATACAGCTATACAGGGCTTCATTTATCAAATTGTCTGAGCAATCATGTTATTGATGTTCATGATAGCACACAGCCATTTTGGCATCAGGTAAAGCTTGACCCTTGCCACGGAACTTTTACACACCCAGAGCGTCTGTAATCGAGCACTTCTCCTTTATGTAATAAACTAACATGAGATGTCAAACAATCAGCCTAGCCCTACAGCCTTCATATACTTCTAACAACAATTTATCATGCCGTGCAGGTATCTGTGCATGTTAGATAAGCTGGTCATGACAGATGACCTTATAGGAAATGTTTCATGGTTTCTCAAAATGTGAAAATTCAAACACTGCATTGTTTATAATTATTTCACAGGTACTTTGAACACCTCCCCAACTAACACAGGGATACCAAGTTTAGCAGGGTCCTACATGGAACTTGATATAACATCATTATTGAATACATTTCCAGAGAATCAGCGATCAGAGGAGTTGAAGCAGGTAGGTATATATAATAATGGTGGCTTGGTAGCATTGCTTTCAGATTGTAAGTTACCCTATCTGTGCAACAGCCAGAAAAATGTTTTGAGTGTTAACTGTTGTATAGTATAATCCAGCAGTTCCTAACTAGTGGCTCAGAATTCACATGGAGATTTCAGATCCCTCTGTTTTTCATCTGGGCAGCCTGTGTTCAGTTCATTATAAGTGAAGTACCTGTCTTGCCTGAACACCAGCTGCATCATACAGTTTTTATAGCCATGGCTCTCTAATTTATATCCTTTCTGTAAACTGTTGATGCTTCTTCTAAATTAAAACTGCACTGAGCACTGTTTGTATCTAAAAAACAGCCTCAGTGCCATTATAGATTAAAACATCTACAATTTGTACTGTGAGAAAACAATTATGTCTCTGCATCTAGTTTCTTAGAATGAAAATGTAAAATTGTTTCATACCTACTTTCCTTTCTTGATTTATCTCCATAGCAGCATACAGATGGGTTGACTCCAGTCCATAGATCTTCAACTTACAGCCCCTGCATGTTCAGTTACTTTCTCCCCTCTAACTTTTTTGCATACATGGGTAGTGAATGGATCTACCGAAAGGGCAAGTAGTAAAAGGAAGGCAGCCTTGTTGGGTGCCGTATAGGATTGGGAATGGGCTGGAAGTAGAATGAGCCCGACAGTTTAGAGCAGGAGTCTCAAAGTCAATTAACTCGGGGGCCATTGGACAAATTTTCTTCTCCCATTGGGGATCCACTTGTCAAGTTTCGCTCTTCAAAATGTGTTTTTTCTTGCAGCAGGAATCCCTGATGTGGCATTTACAAGCGGCAGCTGTCACCCATTCAAGTTAATAAGCAGGTGACAGCTGCTGCATGTAAACACCTGCACACTGCATGTAATGGTATGTGATATGATAACATGCAGTTAGAAAACAGTCACTCTCCCTGGACACATTGATCATGCATCCAGGGAGAGTGATTGATTCCTAACCACATGCAATCAGATCACATACTATTACATGCGGTGTTCCGGCATTTACATGCAGTGGCTGTCACCTGATCATTAACTTGAATGGGTGACA